ATCGAGCCCATCCTCACCTCCTCCATCACCGTGTGGTTCGCTGGAGCCACAGTCAGGGACAAACAGAGACTACAGCGCATTGTGCGCTCTGCAGAGGAAGTGATCGGCCGCAGCCTTCCATCGCTGCAGGACCTGTACGTCGCCCGAGCTCGAGGCCGGGCTGGTCGTATCACAGCCGACCCCTCTCACCCTGCACATGGACTATTCCAACCACTCCCCTCAGGCAGGAGACTGCGGTCCATCAGGACTAGAACCTCCCGCCACAAGAACAGTTTCTTCCCCTCTGCTGTTGGACTCTTGAACACTTCTTAACCTGTCCCCCCGCCCTTTATAAAGTCACTTTACTGCCCACCATACGTCACTTTACTTCACTGTACTGCTGTCACCTTACATTGTGTGCACCATGTGCACTTGTATATTGTAAATAGTAACTGTAACTCTATTTTAAATTTAAATTTATTCTTTAGAAGTGTTTTTTATTCTTATTTTTATTATCTCTTTTTGACTGTTGCACTGAGCCAAAGCAATTTCCTAGTCTGTGACCTCCTGTTACTTACGTGGCAATAAAAATGATTCTGATTCTGATTCTGATTTTTGGTGAATTTATGAGCAGAAACAGAGTCCTATCTGCCCAGTTTATCGGGGGCTCAAAATTGGCAGTCTCAATATTTCAGAAGAAGGCAGACTGACTATGAAGGGACACAATATGTTGGACACAGTTTCAATGTATTTTTAAAATTTGTATTACTCTTTTTTAATAAAAGCCAGGTATACTTTTGTAAAAAAAAAAAAAAAAAGAAAAGAAAAGGGGGACGAGGCAAATTGTATGAGAACTACAATATTTATTATTTTACCCAAACTATGCTTGGTCGGCTTACATGACTTTGACCTATCAAACTCAGACTCCAGTTTCCCCTATCACTAATAACACATACAATAATTTGGGGTACATAAGTGTGTGTTTGTGAGCACGGCTGTGGGACAGTAAATGCAATGCAGTCGTGATTTCTTTTTAGATTCCATTGAAAGTCTTCTTGTGTGTGAATATTTGTGACATGGTGTGGGTCAAGGCCCTTGCAGCTCAATACATTGTACAACTCAAGGTTTGTTATCGTCACTATCTTCCCAAGCCACAAAGCTCAGGTTGCATTTGTATTGTGCAAATATACAGTGCAGTGTGCATTTTTCATTCCATCGTTTTGTATAATAGTGGTGGTTTGAATTGTGTTTGAGAGATAGAGGAGTTTATTACACATTTCTATCTCCAGATAAGTCTTGGTTTATTTTTTGCCTGAAGTCAATGAAGCTTCATCCTCACATATCATTTTTGTTTTCTAAGCAGAGACTATAGTTTGAGCAACAGAATCCAACATTTCCGCTTTGAGTGTTATCGCTCCACTTTTGGTGACGGCTCATTTTGCAGAGACTGAAAAAGCTGCCACTCACACAGAAGTCAAAGGCTCCAGTTGAACTCATCCTCCACACTATCAGATTTAATCAGAGATATTGTGTCACGACAAGAGCATGTGATTCATTTAAGCAGACAAAGGAAGGGACATTTCCAGAAAAAAACCAAAACAAATGCATTGCTGTTTGACTTTGGCCTCTGATTAGGATTAGAAATAAGGTTGTAAGTCAAATTATAGGCATAGACTGAACATTATGGACTGGCCGAGTGCTGATGCCACCCACAGTGTTAGCTGTAATGTAGAAGAGGCTGAATAGAGCTAGCTCAAACAGGCTATTTGAGCGGGAATATGTCATTTGTTTATCCCTCTGTCTTCTTTAGTTGTACTTCCTCTTGTCTGATAACCTGCCCTGCCCACATGTAGTCTTGTATCTCTGTACCCTCTGTATTCCTTTACTCCCTTTAGGGTTTTATCCCTGGACTTTTATTTATTATCATTAAATCATTCTTCTTTTGCATTCTTGTTTTTTGGGTCCTTCATTCACTTCTTCACATGACATCTGAAGCCAAATGTAGCTCAATCTGGAGAGACCAAGACAGACACGTTAATGCATTTAGAAAGATTTGTTGTTTGGCGCATTGACCCCAGCAGTGATACTTGCAGAGGGTAGATCACTGCTGCTGAGATGATCTCAGATCCCCCGGGGTAAAGCACTGGTGGTGACTAGAAGCATGGTGGGAATGGGGCGCAGGCAGAGCAGGAGCCAGAACAGGTGAGTGTCAAGAGTAAGTAAGTAGTAGTAGTAAGTAAGTAATCTTAATTTATAATTTAATTTACAGACCAGAGTCACAAAGCGGTTTACAATTGATATTTTTGGGCATTTGTCCTCTCACTCCACACAGAGATGGGAGCGGGGGTCGCCTATTGTACATGTTTTTAGTGGTAGAGGAAACCGGAGGAAACCTACGCCGACACGGGGAGAACATGCAAACTCCACTCAGAAAGCCCCTGTTCTGACCAGGATTCGAACCCAGGACCTTCTTGCTGAGAGGCGAGAGTGCTATCCACTCAGCCACTGTGCCGAGTGGCCGAGTGGCTGAGCTTCAGGAAGGGCTGGTCAGTAAGAAGTGCCGGCTTTGCTGTCAGTGGTTGGCAGGGGGGCTGGCCGAGCTGTGTGAGGTGAGAACTGCGGCATGCAGGTCTTCCCACTCTGAATTTGCACTTAAGCTTCATGTAAATGTTGTAGATTTACCAAGCGCCAATCCAGAGCAGGACCGGCCTGTCCTCAGTCGTGCTATTTGCTAGCTTAAAGGCGCTATACCCGTTTCTACAATGTTTGAATGTTTAGCATCGCCCCCCAACTCGCTCACAGGCTTCTCATTTCCCCTACGCTCTCATAACACGGAGCCACCTAGTTTTATTTGCGATCTGATACGTATGCTAACATTAGCATTAGCACAACTTCTTGTAAGCTGTACAACAATCACCGATGAAATGGTACAAAAGCAATGCACTGCTAACACAATATATAAGTTAAAGAATACCGCTAGTTTCGCGTGCGAATGTATTAATTTAAACATTAGAATATGTTCTAATATTTAATTAGAATGTATTATACAGCTCCTCACAGCAGCAGCACTCCATTGACTTGAATGCAATTCTTCCGATCATTTTTTCTTGATAACAGAACTCTCAAATCAATAATGACCGCAGCCCCAATGTAATCTCTGTTTGTAATTCAGCTGTGTAAAATACTGCCATTACTTTGCAAGTACAACAAGCTATCAGCGCCTGTCACTACATCGTGCAGTTTTTCTGCACACTTGTCTGTGTAGAGAAGCTAGTGCTAGCCACGCTCAATAAACAACTACATATCAATCAATCAACACCATTAAACGTTAATCAGACAATACAGTATACATATACATCCTTAACACACATGCACGGACAATTTTCAGAATTTTCTGTCAACGTTTTCATGACAAAAATACTGTTTTAAAGTGACAAAAAGCGATTGTGAAAAACCCGGAAGTTACCATGAAACAGCTAGCTAGCTTAGCTGTTACCTGCCTAGCACGTTTCGGTGAAACCTTTGGGAGCTAACTATTTTATTTGCAGTCATTAAATACATTTCGAATTATAAGGGCTGTCTAATATTTATTGGAATATATATATATATTTTATTTTAGAATTATATTTGAATTTTCATGTTGAAGCCCTGGTGTTGAGCAGCGCTGTAGAGGCTAGAGGACGCAGGCTGTTCGCTGCTTGTTCTGTGAGCGGAGGAGAACGAGCGTCCCGCTAAGACTCTGCTCAGCACTTTTCACTGCCTGAATTTCATACACAGCTGAATCAATGACCTCAAGTTTTCAATTAAATTATGTATTATGATACAGCTTGTATGTAGTAAAAAGCATTTTTATGAACTACTTAGAAAAAAAATCGGGTATAGCTTCTTTAACCCAAATTCGGCAACAGAATGCTCCTGATATGTCAGTTATGAAGGCTCATATATGGATTTACAAAGGCAAAGCACTTTGATTTGATTTAAGAACTAAAATATATTGCTTATGAATGTAAATGCAAATAAATTTAATTCCATGTTGTATTGTAAAGCCCCAAATCACAACAGTAGTCATCTTTGAGGGCTTACAAAGTTGTTGATTTACAGATAAGAGAATCAAACACTTAGCACTTACACAAATGCATGAAATGTAATGATAGAAAATACATAAGGAGTGGATGAGGCTTTGTCTATGAGCACTTCCCTATTGGGCTTCATTGAGCGAGGGGGTTAGGGACATACATCTATTTACAGTCAACGGGCACATGGATAGCTTGATAATGCAGTTCTTATTTTACAGACAACAGGGGATGCTTTTTTGCTAACTTGAATCTACTGTTTGTTGTTGTTGTGACACACTCACAGTAAAAGCAGTTTTTCCTGGTTTTCCATAACAGAAAATAGTGGCAATGCTTTTTCAGTCTGATGCAATGTGGCATTTTCCTTGAGTTTTGTTTTGCCCAAATTCACGTTAAAGCTTTTTGCCAAATAGAGTTGACTGTACCTGGCCTTTTTGTTTCATGAATATCTTTTGTTTATACCAACAGAGCCTGGTTTGAGTTCCATTTTGAATATTACTCAGGCCACACCCTTCTGTCTTCATCTTATTAGAACATTTTGTGATATTTTACATTCTGAGAGTTGATTGGCTGGGCTGCTACTATGCACAAAAATAGATGCATGTCAAAACTAGAATAGTTGTAGTTTCAAAGTTACAGTAGGTACTCCAGCTTTAAAAAATAAAAGGATAAGTCTTTAAAAAAAAGGCGTATTCTTTTGTCGTTTCCGCAGCTAATCAGCGATAATACCAAGAAAGGCTGTATATTCTCATCTCAAAATAGTGAAGTCGGCTTTAGTAAAATCAAGGTTTGGCCCTTTCTGCTTCCAAGCCAACTGGGCATCTATTTGTTAAACTATGCACTTGGGGGCCTGCGTTAACACATTCATCTGTAACATTCCTACTTCACAATGAGTATTTCATCATTTCAATTTGAAGCAAAGTGAGTGTTATGAGTTGCAAATATGGTATGAGATGTGAGTCAGCCAGTCCGAACCAAAGAGTCCCAGATGACGGCGCTCCTTTATATGTTAATCTGACATCTCTGTGTGCGGATTACATTCATTACTGACTGTAACAGCTCATGAGAGGGCGGTTCAGGGTAAAGTGGGCTGCAGCGGATACTCTGCTGTTGTGGTGTGGTGATAAGGGTCACTGGATCATAACGTTACACTCCCAAATATGTCACTATTTCAATAAAGTGACATTACAATTCAAAAGTGGGAAGATTCAAGAAGAGCTGACATAAAGCCTTTGATTCTTGATATGTCACTGGGTTATTATTCACATCCTAATGTGTCCACATGCTTAAAAGGTCCTGGGTTTGAATCCTGGTCGGGACGGGGCCTTTCTGAGTGGAGTTTGCATGTTCTTTCCGTGTCTGCGTAGGTTTCTTCCTGGTGCTCCAGTTTCCCCTACTCCTAAAAACGTGTACAATACAATTTTATGGTTCTTGTGTTGTATTTTGTAATGTCTGGAAATCACTTTGTGAGAGTCTTTTATGGCGACGTCGCTCCCATATCTGTGTGGAGTGAGAGACAAATTCCGACAAGAACTGTAAAGCGTTTTGTGACTCTGGTCACTTACTTACTCCACACACAGTGCAATTAAAGTCACAATCTGCTATTTCATTCCCACATGGAAAACCAGCCTTTTTGAGAGACTGAATGAGTGAGTGATTCCTTTGTTAGTCCCACGGTGGGGAAATTAAAGTTTGATGAACAAACATCAAGGCGGGCAGTGGACATCACATCCACAGCAGAAACAGCAGAGAGCAAATACATACCCTTCACAAAGACAAGATGGACACATCTGACAGAGGGAAGTTATGAGGGGGGGTGCGGAGGCCAGAAAAGACGAGGGGGGCAGGGGGGTGGGGTGGAGGGACAAGAACTGGTGACTGTAAGTCTTTCGCTGATGTTGAAAGAGTACTTATCTTCAGATTTGGGGTCTGGCATATTTTTGTGTATATTCTATACAATATAATTGTATAAATGATGTATTCTTTGGATAAATGTTTACATATATGATCGTATATGAACGTAAATATTTGTTCTGCTTTGAGTGCTTATATATTCCTATTCTTTAACTATTCATTGCAACACTGGACTTGTAAGTATTTTTTAACATATACTACTACATGTACTAAACAGCACAGTGGGATTCATTCTCTCTAAAAATCAAAAACAATTCTCCAGCGAGTGCCTTGTCAATACAAGAATGTGTTTTCAAGGAGTGTCTTTTGAAGCATGGTATTGATTAAATTTGTTTAAAGTTGATAAAAAATCTCAGTTTTATATGAAAAATAACAGAATTAATCAGTCAATGATAGAAATGACAACATTTCCACAAACAACACTTAAACGGTGCATTCCACAACTGTCCTGGTGGAGGGTTGGCTTTTTGCTTGGGTTCATCTAAATGTTGTCTAACCTGGAATTTTAATTTTTTTTTAATTACACTACACAAGCATGTGACTGAATTAAAAGTTGGACCATATGTAATATGTACTCTTAATAGCCCAATATAGTTATTACAATTACATTTTTTACTGCCAGAATCTATCACATGTAGCTCATGCAATCCTCCTGCTAGGGTTGAGCTAGAAACATGCAACAAACCCTATTTACTTGGGACACATGTAAACAATGTGGATTTAATTTAAAATGAAAATAGTTCAAACTGTGTTTAAGTACTATGATTGAATGTTTGTTATAATAATGTTTTAAACCATAACATAAACCAACCAACCAAATTCCAAGCAAAAACTTCAATGGCAACAAGCAGGAAACAGCACCTTGAAAATCAAGTGCGCGATAGCCGTAGTTGATGATAACAGACACATTAACTCTGTGTCACTAACATCTTGTTTCCTTCTCCCGCAGAAATCGAAAAGTGCGATGGTGACGAATTCAGGAAAGACAGCGACCTGAAGAAGTACCTCGATATCATCAGCAATAAAAACATCAAGCTCTCAGAAAGAGTCCTCATCCCGGTGCAACAGTATCCAAAGGTGAGTGGACACAACACCAAATATGCACTCTGCGTTTCCATTTCCTCACTTGGCTCCTTCTCAGTGGGGGCTGGGGCGGATGAGGGTGACACTGGGCCATTCATTATAGCTGTCAGCGCAGGGAAGGCCGGCCTCAGACTGGTCACCTCTTGCACATATTCCCCCATCGACCAAAATCCCCCCGAGCCTCAAGCTGCCTAATACGAAGCTGTGGCTGTTTATTTTGATGCAGTCAACGAACAAAGAGCACAGTTTTTATGCTATAAGCCAGTTTTAGGGCTGTACCAGACAACCGTCGTAAATCATCCTAAAACCATGCACTTGAATGTGGTTTGTTATTGAATGTGAAAACAGCTGGGCATTTATTCATAAACAATGTGGTTAGAGTTACAGGAAAACTGTTGGTGTGTCTGACAATAATGGCTTTCGTTTGGGGTATATCAGTTACGGCCAATCTTATGTTTTTTCTCTAATAACTTTGTATAGACAAGAAAATTATTCATTGCATTTTCCAAACATCAACATTCATGATTTATAGCCACAGACAAGAGTGCTCTTAAGATAATAGTTTCTTGCCATGTTGTAAATTCATCAAACAAATTCTCACTATTTCATCTTTACTCCAGTGCTGACCCATTAGCTTGATAAAGCCTAGCGATAGGGAAGAGCTCATGGAAGAAGTTTTGCTTCAACTCACTTTGGCTCCCACTTGCATTGAAAAGTCAATGTCAAAAGTAAAAGCATAAATAACCACTTTTGTCACATATCATCATTTTGGGCTTACATTTTTTTTGAACAATTGCAGTATTGTAGTAAGTAACTGTAAATGGATGATTTTCTGGAAAGACGTAATGACGTCTGATTATTAAAGTGATAGTCTGGAACTCTAAATGAATTACACATTTTAAGAATTGTATAAAATTGACCTCCTGGCCTTCAATGTTGTACAAGTCATTTTATTCATTCTAATACTACGGGTAAGTCCCGCCTTCCCTTCTCTTTGCTATAGTTAGAAATCCACGATGCCGTCCACTTTAACCAACCAAGTGATGCCAAGGGCTGTCAATCATCAGCGCTGATGCTCGTAGCTGCGCGCATGTTCAGTTGTTTGTTTTTGGGGAACCTCTGAATCAAGCCTCTTAGGCTCTGGAATTTCATGAAAACTGAACAAAGAATTCTGAACATCCGCGCTTCCCATTTATATACTGAACATATGTCCATAATCAGATCCTCTGCAGGTGTGTCCTATAATGTTCAATCAACGTTAATAGCTACTGTACTTCCGGGATCGCTTTTTTTGTGCATTAAAACATTATTTTTTGTCATGGAAATGTTAACAAATAATTCTGTAAACCTCCGTGCATGTGTATTAATAATGTATAAGTATAACGTGTTCTCAGATTAACATTAAGGCTATATCCAAACGAAGACAAAACGCTTATAATTTCAGAAACTTTTTCTGTAAACACGGAGTTAGCTCAGTAAATGTGTGCGTCCATATGAATGTAGTCAATACGCCTGAAAACGCTGTGAAACTATGCCAGACCTGTTGGTGGCGCTGTGACGCAATGACGGGATCAAGCCCAAACTTCCGTGGGCATGCGCGGAATTTTGTAAACAGACAACATGGCGAGTGGGCGAGCTGGTACTACATTAGTATGGACGGACGATGAGGTTGAACTGTTGCTTCGGGTCGCACTGGATTACAAAACCAACAAGCTACATTGTTGTTGTCATTATTTTCTGAGTGCGGCGCATGCGTGCTTTAACAAGAGGCGGGGCGATGACGCAAGCGTCTCAGATACATTGCGGAGAGGCAGTAACCACGGAGCGGCATATACGGAGTTTTGAAATCTTTCCACTCTGGGACCTAGTTTCAAAAATGTTCGTTTACACCCCCCCAAAACGCCGGCCTCGTATGGACGATACACTGGATTGATAAAGTATTTTTGCGTTTAGGCCTGAGCTTGACTTTGTGTGGACAGGGCCTAAATGTGTTACGGAAACGTAGGCATAGACCAATCAGAAAGGAAGGGGGAGGGAGCTTGGGTGGTTTTATTCAAATCCTGTACCTCTCTCTTTTTTTTTTCTAACAAACTCCAGACAGTCACTTTAATGTTTAATGAACATTGAACTTGAAATAAATAAACAATAATTTAAACTCAACCGTTTGTGTATATTTTGATATCACCATCCTAAGTGACCAATCAGCTGATTTCTGTCCCTAAATTTGCCTTTGCCTCATCAATTGTGAAAGAGGGAACAGACCAGCTTCACTCCTGAAGGGCTACTTGGTTACTGGGTGGCTGCTATGTGATAATATTATCCAAATTTGGCTTCCATGAAAGCTGTTTGAGTTAGCTCTAATCAGCTCTAATCTTCCTGAAAAAGCTAAATGCTGAGGGGGGATGTCAGCTCTCAGTCTCTCCACTCCTCTGGTGGGTAAATCAAAGTCTATTTTCAATATCCATAGAATCTGCTGTTGGACTCATTCTTATCTTTCAAATGAGCGACTCACTATGATACTAATTTCAATATTGCTCAGAATGAGCATTGATTTATTTTTGAGAGCCCTGTTCTGTCATTAGTTAATGAATACCACAGAGCTGAGTGCTACCCTACACCAGGTAAGCTGTGCTGCTGTGTGATAAATGACTCATTATTATGTGGTCAGAAAATGCTGCGATGATGTCAGGAGGGCAGAGAAACGTTTACCACCTCCCCACAGGAGTCCAGACTCTGTGCACGAATCCAAGCCGATGCAGCCACATCCACTGTCTTTGTCCAAGTAACAGCAATCCTAATGCTTATAGCAACTCCTCACTCTATTATATCGACCACCAATCAATAAAATGCCAATTAGGGCATTAGTCAGACGACCAGACTGGGACTCCGGGTCACATGCAGTCAGTTCTTTTTATAACCAACCATTTCATGTCCCTTCTCCTTGTTATGTAAAAAAATCCTTGCGTCTAATAAAAATGCTCAATTCTTGGTTTTGTCTTTTTTAGTAAGTAAGTACTCTTTTTTGATCCATTCATACTCAAGAGGCAATTGACTATATTATAAAAGTGCATTATTACAGTATTTAACTCTGGGTAACTCTGGGTACAACCTAATGTTTCCATTTGATTTTTCTATTCATCCCACCCACTATTTGGAATGTAGGCTCAAATTAAAATTGTAATAATAATGATACTTGCTTGGTGTCTCTCCGATGAAATAAAAAGTTAGAAAATGAACCATGAAGACCCATATTTTTGAGATTCAGTGGATAATCCAAAGTCCTTGTTGGTGTGTGAGCGACAGCGCTGGCCCTGCAGAGTAAGCACTGGGCGGCGAGTGCATTTGTCCAACTCCAGCCGCTGTTCCCTAAACGCACCGTCAGCAGCACCAAACAAGACTGCACTGTCACCAGCGGACATCTTGGTAACGCTGCACTTTTACTTAATAGTAATGAGACACATGGAGCAACTCTTTGATCAAGACAAAGAAGCACAGAGCATCATTATATTCAGTCTTAATAGAACAGAGACACATTAGAGAGTCAGATTAAGACTGGACTGACTGTCTGACTGACTCCTGCTTGGTTGAAATGAAAACCTGCAGCCCACACCAGTCCTTTGAGGACAGTTGAATATCCCTGATTTGAGTTATATTATTAAATCACTGGAAATTCATCCATTACATTTCCTGAGAAGTTTGAATAATGGAAAGCAGCTTCACACCTTACCTTCAACCTACAATTTTGCTATTTGTTGTTTGACATACAACCTGAAATATGTATTTGTATGTAACAGTGAGATTTTGACACATTTACAAAGGACCTATTCACAAACACTATGTCATTTTTTCTTCAATATATGATGTACATAAGACAGTGAAGAAACTTAAACTGACTTATTTATTTCTGTGAATGTCCCAAATGTGGTTGAAAGCATTTGTACATAAATGTCAGTCCATAAACTCTGACTATATCTGTAAATATAAGCAATTAGAAAAATACATTAGATCTCATCTCACGCGTCACCTATTTTCACACTTTGTTGCAACAAGACAAATCATTCGTCACTATAGTATTAATGATTGTTGTAAAAAACCTATTACTTTGAGAATGTTTCAACCGACCGCTGCCCACCTAATTGCATTATTCTCACAGCCATTTTATGATTATTAGCATTCCATAACCTGGAATCTGGCCCTCTGTCAGTGGCTGTACAAGAAGCCATAAATCTGCTCCTTCTCATTTTGGTCATCATTCGTTTGTGCTTATGTGGCAGTCCTGCAGCAAAGTAATTATATTAGCACTTTAGAGATTTCTTTATGACACCGTGACACGTGAAAGATGAATGTCTACTAACACGTCTCTCATGGGATTATTATGGGTTATGTCAACTGTGCTATACCAAAAGCCTTATAGGTGACATATTGATGCCTTCAGGAATAGTGCTGTAAATAATAGCAACAATAAGAGATGATGTAAGTCTAACCTTTATAGACACAGACCAGGGGCCCATAAAGAGCTTCATAATGAACAACAACGCCTCCTTGGTTCAGCCTAACCCGGGTTAGTCTGGATTAGCACAGAATAGGACTGACGTCAGATGTGAAGACAAACAGCAGAAGATGGAGGCACATGACCAGATTATGTATACAGGAAGATAAACATTTGCATAACCAAAAGTAGACTCTTATTTCCTCCCCTGTGTATGGGAATGTTGTTCGGTCTTGATTTAGAAATAAAGTTCTAAATACTCTAAACAAAATGAACAGTTTAATAATGCAAGGCTAGTGCAAGGTTTTATGGTTCTGGTCTGAATGGACTGTGGCCTCCTGTCTGAGGGAGGGACTTGAATAGTCCAGTGCAGGGTGAGCAGGGTTGGGTTGGCTTCTGTGCTGTATCTAAAGGCTCTACTGAGCGCACAGTGCATGGTAGTCTCTGCTGATACGGGGACGCAGTGCTGGAGCCTCTGTTTGTTTTGACAGGGGTGATTGGACTGGTGAGGGTAGACAAGAGGATGGCTGTGTAAAATGCACCAACATATGCGTGGGCAGCATGGCTTTTCTGAGCTTCGCAGGAAGTACATCCTCTGCTGTGCCTTCTTGGGGAGGGAGTTGATGGTCTGCTTCCACTTCAGACCTAGACGATAGTAGTGCCGTAAAAGAAAAAAAGAGTCCACACCGGTGTTTGGGGGTGGATGTGCTGAGTTCTTCCACTATTACCTTCAGTGTCTTCTGGGTGTTCAGCTCCAGGTTGTTTCCACTTCACCAGGACTGCTCCACATCCCTGCTGTGGAGGTTGTCCAATATTAAGATTAGTGATTAAACTGGTGATTGAAGTCCAGGGAAATGAGCATTGGAAAAAAATCACAATTTTTACTATTTTAAGCTTGTATATAAGATTTTTTTATATACCACAGCGCTTAAGTACTGCAAAGTTGTTGTGCTGCTAGAATCTGAAAAAAGTTTAACACTAACCTATTCCTGGTTTTGTAACCATCGGATCTTTCAAGGCAACAAACCCATGTAATGACCTCTCTATTTCTGCATCTAGAATAAATACGGTGTGAAGAATCTGTGCTCGAAGCCGACTCAAATAGCTGATCTGTCATTAGGGTAATTGTGACGGTCATGCTCTTTATCTATGCAGACTGTATCTTCTGCTTCATGATGAGATAGCAGCTCTGATTACTATCTCATAACCTTGGACCACAAAATCACATTTGAATGGATTTGGTTTTTCTCTCCCGTCAGGACTCCAGCATCATGTGAAAAAACATTTCAAGATTGGCAGGTGTTGTCTTTAAACCCAGCCAATAATTTGAACAACATTTTGCCCAGCACCTATCTTTAAATAGAGCTTAGCATTGATGGGTTATTGTGACCTTTAAAAGCCATGTTATTTTGTATTTATTGTGACGATTGTGGTTTTGTCTGTTTAAAAAGATCCCTCTGTCCCAGAAGGGCCAGGCATATGAAAAGGTGTTTAGCTTAGATAAGTACCTGAATGCAGTTGTCTTCCATTGAACTGAAATTAAAAGTCAACATTGCTCTGATAAGAACTGAAAAGGAAGACTGTGCATACACAACGTCTTTTCACCACATCGTCTCTATGCTAAACATGTGTATACAATTTGATTTTGACCTCATCTTTTTTATGAGAAGGACACAAAGGAGCTTGTGGTTAAGTGTGTTGCCCAAAGACACAACAGCAGACATCAGTGGGAGTAGGTGGAGAAGGTCTCGTGGGGGGATCAGGTCTTTACAAACATAGCCACTTTAAAAGGGGCATCCCTTTTAAATGTTATACTGAAACCAATTTGAATGAAAAAAAAACAAAGAACACTTTTGCCAACTGAGCATAAAAGTCTGAATGAAAACACTTCTTAATACTTCTTCTTAAGCCTACAGAAAGACGCCACACTAGGGGAGAGAACGAAACTAACAGCTGACCACATCTGTGAAATACTTGAAATGTGTCTTAACACTGTTATAGAATTATATACCCCATGAAGGAGAAAACTCAAAGGTCCTTTGTCTGATCAAAAGCGTAAGTTTATTGTTAACGCACAGTGCGGAGAGCCAGCACATACACTCCAAAAGCCGCATGTCCCAGCTCTGGGGGCCAGAGCCCCCAGCTTCCTGTATCCAAGACACACACGAAAGCCAGTCCCGCCCACAACAGATGGGAGGGGGGCCACCGGTGCAGGATGTAGAGAGTGCACACATACAGACCGATACATATGCAAGAGGTGAAAGGGGGCAAGAGTGATAGCCATTGTCTGTAGGTGTCGGGGGGGTCCGGCTCCTTCCTGGCAGCAGGGACATATGGATATAAGCAGGCATACAGATTCAAGATACGAAAGACACAAGGGTGTGACAGACAGCAGGGGGCCCTCACAAAGCTCAGCATGGCGTCAGAAGGGCGTCTCTGCATTGATAAAAGGCCTTTGACGTCCGTGTATTTGCTGCGGCTGGTTTTATGTAATTACTCCAAAAACTGTCACCACACTCCCCTCTTTTGATAATTCAAAACCATTTTTGCATTAATCAGTTAAATACCAGAGGCATCGTAATCACACCACCTTCAAGCTTGAAACACTTAAATTATTGCTGTCCAAAGTGGACAAGAAAAGAAGCATGCTTGTCAATAAAAGAAAGAGCACATTATAATAACACAATGGATCCGGACAGCGATAAGAGAAGACAATATTAACATAATAAACACGGTCAGCACGGAAAGTAGTGTCAGTGTGGCCAGCATAACAGTCCAAGGGCCCATTCCGGTCTTAGCCGGGCTACGTTCGGTAGTCTTTTCCGCGGGAATACTCACGAGCAGTGCCGTCTCGCAGTCAGTGGCACCGCTCCCTATGAGCGTGTGTGGAGCGTTAGTGGTCATGGCGATGTTTGGTCTTGGAGCGGCAAGACTCTAATTGCGTTGAAGCCTTGGCCTCAGCACTCGGTTGGGCAGAGTGCTCGGGGTTTGGGGTGTGGAGACCATGGCTTGAGCACGCTCCAGATCGGCCAGGCCCAAAGCTCATTTGATGGGAGACCTCATGACAGCACGCTTCACCATGTGCCTCATCAGGAACTGTAGAGCAGCCCTCATCTCCACCTCCTCCGGACACACGGGAGACGAGACACCAGGGGGGCACTCCAGCAGAGCTCAAATCTGCATTATGGCCAGAGGGAACAAGCTCTGGAGAAATCTTTGGAATGGGCAGCAGCTCTGCATACTTGCTGCAGCTGAGCAGAGCGCTCAGGGCCTTCATGGCTCCCAAGCCTTGGGATCCGGGGGCTGGGGAGTTGGGCAAAAAGGGGGGTCGCCTCGGGAACGCTGGGATTCTCTGGGTGTTGTTGTTGGCCTGCTTCACCGACAGTGGCCGCACGCCGGCCGACTTCTTCATCGTAGGGAGCCGCGGATGGGCCTGGTCCGTCCGCGCCCTCGGTGTCCTCGTCTATGGCCCTCAGTGGCAGCACCGCACGACAGTGGTTGGCGTGGATCCAAGTTGTCCTCTCCGCGACCTTAACGGCAGTGTCCGTCACCAGGAGGGCGAGGAATGGACCGAGCCAGCGCTTGGACCGCCAGTGCTTTCATCTCGTTTCCTTCACCAGGACCCAGTCGCCTGCGCAGCCTGTGGCAGGGCGCTCCTGACCTGGGCAGAAATAGAGGACAAAAGTGCATTAATTTCCTTACAATAGGACAGCATGTCGTCATCACACAAAGAGGTGCTTGGCAGATCTCTGTTCGGGGGTCCCTCGCCCAAGTTGGGTGGTCTGGCACAGAGGATTTCGAATGGGACTCTCATGCGCATGTACATGAGGGCTAGCGGCAGAGCTTTGAGTGCCATTCTCTCGCTCGCACGCGCCTCCGGGCCAGGGGGCGTAACTGCAGTGTTTACGTATATCAATGCCCAGAAATTCACCCACTTCCTCAATGACTTTTGCTACAAAGTGACTGCCAGTGTCACTAGAGATTTTTTCTCGGGGCACAATTTTTGTGAGCAGAGCTTTCACCACCGCGTTGCTTGTGGCGTGTATGCCTGCAAATACTTCAGTCCATTTGGACCAGAGATCCGCCAGAACCAGACAGTATTACTTACCTTGGCATGGTGTGAGTTCAACAAAGTCCCTTTGGACATGTTGAAATGGGCGCAGGGGCGGAGGATGAGCAGCCTGTTGGATACTTTTGGGACTTACCTGGGTTGTGCGCGAGGCATATAGCGCATGTTTGGCTGAATCTCTGTGCCAATGCCGTAAACCCCTTTGTATACCAATTCTGTGTGATTAAATCACACATCATCCCTCCTTTTGAGGCATGGTCTCGACCATGTGCTAAAATTGCAAACTGTCTGAAGAAATGCCGTGATAGGCACGGTTTGCTGTCTGGTCCCAGCCACACACACCATGCCGTCGTTGAGCCCCATTCCCCTCTCACAGCAGCGTCTCTGCTGGAGTAGAAAATATCAACGTCTTGAGTGAGGTAGTGTGTGTGTGTGTGTGTAGAGGTGCGTATGCCGCTGCCTTGTCCGCGCGCCGATTCCCTGCAGAGATGGGATCAGTGGCATTAGTGTGGGCCTGGCATTTGCATACAGCGATCTCTAAGGGCAACATTACAGCTTTCAGCAGACGTTCAACCTGTGTGGAATTAAGAATTGGTTTACCATCAGATTTCATAAAATTGCGGTGTTTCCACAGTGCTTCCCAGTCGTGCACCACAGAGAAACCATAGCGCGTATCACAGAATATGTTAACAGTTTTGCCCGCTGCCAGCTCACACGCCCCGGTGGGCGCGACCAGCTCAGCGGTTTGTGCTGAGTGGTAGTGGGGCAAACTACCAGAGTCTATAGTATCAAAATCAGAACACACAGCATAGCCGACTCGGTTCTTCCCAGTGTTGTCACGTGACGCGGCTCCGTCTGTATAAAAAAAAATCAAGTCAGGATTAGTCAGAGGCACCTCTTTCAGGTCTGGCCTGGGAGTGCATATCTGTTCTATTGTGGCGATACAGCAGTGTGCCTCCCCTTCCTCTGGCGTGGGCAGCAGCGAGGGGGGGTTCAGC